GCTTTTTTAAAATTAAATACTTTTGCTAAATTTTTTTTTTATATGCACAGCTACCAATAAACTTGTAGTCCACTGAACATGTTTTAGAATTTGAATCCTCAGAATTCAGTAGATTTTGTCCCAGAAAATGCACAGAGTCCATCTGGGCCTGGCAATAAATGTGTATGCATAACATAGAGATGAGAATACAGTCCCAATTAATAATAATAATCATTCATACAGCAAGCTGAACATGTTTTACCGACTGCCTTCCTTTGAGTCACGCTCATGAAAGCCCAATATCATCATGGCCATACTGCAATATGTGGTGTATTGAGGACACAGCAGGTGCATTGAGGAATGCTTGACTAGCATATAAAGCTACTGCATCCAAACTACAACCCAAAACCAACTTAGACTGGCTGCTGATGGAGCGGGTGGGGGATCTGGTTTTTCTTAAACAGTTTTTAAACTCTTTCTCCGATTCAATTTAGAGTCATAAACAGGCCTACACGAAATCTGCATGCAGATTTCCACAGAACTGTAATGCATTCATTAAGTTTATTAGTTTGCTAATTTGATTTGATTATGCTTACAGTTACCACTAAGGATAGCTTCGTTAAACACACTGTTTTAATCCATTTTCGCAGAAAACGTCTGCAGATTGCGCCTGGGCCTGGTTATAAGGTAATCCGTTCCACAAACTAAACGCATACAAACACACTCAATATTTCACTCTCTCATGCGCTTTCATCCGGGTTTGTTCTCCTGCAGAATTAAGTAAAAATGTGTATTTAGCATTTGTAGTGATACATGCATCCAGTAGACTGCTGATTTACATATTTTTTTTCTTAAAAATAAAAAGTAAAAAAAAAGTATTAGAAACACAGCTATACAGAGTCTTTAGCTAATCCAAGGAGCGAGGTTTGGAAGGAGGAGCCCCATGTCCAGATGTGATGCGGTTGGTTAGGAGGTGAGGACCGTCGCCGTTTAGTTGCTACAGCAGGAACCTTTCGCGGGCTGTGCCGTTTCTGTTAGATCCACACCTCTGTTGCGTCCTGTGTTGGCACCTACAGGCTGGGGCTCATTCTTGGGTAGTTTCTTTGCTAAGGTGCAAAAACACACAACAGAGCCATTTTTGTAAATATAAGCAAAGAGGTTTCATTATGTTTGCAAGTTAAAGGTTATAAGGGTGAACTAAGTTCACCCAAAAATGAAAATTTGATGAAAGTTTACTCAAGCCATTCAAAATGCAGATGAGTTTTTTTTTGATTTTATTGTAACAGATTTAGCAGAAAGATAGCATCACATCAACTGCTCATCAGTTGATCCTCTGCAGTCAATGGGTGCCGTCAGAGTGAAGGTCCAAACAGCTGATAAAAACATCATAATCCACAACACTCCAGTCCATCAATTAACATCCTGTGAAGTGAAAAACTGTGCGTTTGTAAGAAACAAATCTATGATCTATCAAGATGTTTTAAATTTAAACTGTCACCAAATTATGAGTCCATAATAACACTTCCTCCAGTTAAAAAGTCCATGCCCTGTTGTCCTCTCACATCACAAATATATTTTTTGGTTTAGAACCGTTTCAGACAGTTTTTACTTATAGACAGTGCTTGATTTGTGCATATTTCTCACCTGATTCAGACATTGGATTTTTCTCCACTGGAGAAAGCAATATTATGGATGGACAGAGGACTCGTGTTTCAGAAGCAGCAGTCTGTAGTTAAACATCTTAATGGATTTGTTTCTTACTAACACGCATCTTTTCACGTCACAGGATGTTAATTGATGGACTGGAGTGGTGTGGATTACTTGTGGATTATTGTGATGTTTTTATCAGCTGTTTGGACCCTCATTCTGACGGCACCCATTCACTGCAGAGGATCCACTGGTGAACAAGTGATGCAATGCTACATTTCTTCAAATCTGTTTAGGCAAGGGAAGTTTATTCATATAGCACATTTCATACACAATGGTAATTCAAAGTGCTTTACATAAAAGGACTTAAAATAATCATAAAAAAATAACCACAACAATAAAAACAGAGTTTAAAAAAATTATTGATTTAAAATGAATTATACATAAAATACAGTGCAATAAGTTCAGACATAGCACAGTGCTCCTTCAGTAAATGCACAGCTAAACCGATGAGTTTTGAGTCAAGATTTAAATGTGGCTAATGTTTTAGCACATCTGATCTTCCTTAGATGAAGAAACAAACTGAGAACATTTTCAGCACATTTTATTTTTTGGTGAACCATTCCTTGAACGTGAAATGGCATTCACAACCCAATTTACCTCTAAACTGTGACACATTTTCTTGAGTGAAACCAGATATTCCAGGTACAAAATTTAGGGTGTTTACATTTTTGTACCTCTAACTTTGATAATAACTAGAAATGTTTCTTGAGCAGCAGATCAGCTTATTTTCATGATTTCTGAAGGATCATGTGACACTGAAGACTGGAGTAATGATGCTGAAAATTCAGCTTTGATCACAGGAATAAATTACAGTTTAAAGTATATTAAAATAGAAAAGTTATTTTACAATATTACTGGTTTTATATGGAAGCATATGGGTAGCAAAATTCATTTTGAAATGTAATATGCAAAATGACAATGAAATATGTAAAATGGCAATGTATTTCTGTATTTAAATTTAAATTTTCCCATACATATGTGCTACATTTAGTGCAAAATGAAAATTCAATTATATAATTTACATTTTCTACACTAGTTTTAATATGTAAATGTAAAAACATATTTTAACGCTTTATAAGTTGCAAAATTAAAATGAAATTGTATTACCCAAATCGATTAGATATGTTTAACATGTCCAAGCAAAAACTGTAGCAAAATTATCATTTAAATGCCATTTTTCCTAAATGCATTTAGACTTACGGGTAGGACACTTGAGATTGCATTTTCATCGTGATACCGTGTGATAATTGTAGCAAAAATTGTCTTTTATTTTTTCTTAAATGCATTGACACTTACACTTAAGACGTTTCAATTGCATTTTCATTAAATACCCCGCGATATTGTAATTTAAGTCATTGTGGATTTGAAAATGCATTCCAAGCCGATCACGCCCCCAACCTGTCAATCATTATATCAAGGCGGGGCTAGGCAACAAGAAGCACAATAGGTCAATATTCCCCATTAACCAAACGCTTTTCATCTGCCTCAACATCTCTCACTGTTTTACACTCCGATTGATGCACATAAGCAAACAGACAGTGCAATTCTACACTTTTACCTATTTGCTACCATACTTTATTCTTCTCCTATAATGGATTGCATGTCCCCGAGCACCTAAGCGTTGCGTCGCACATCTGCACACGCGTCTGCACGCCGAGTGACGCACGTAAGCAAATTCTACACTTATTTACCACCTTACATTATATTTTATTCCTCTCTTTTAATCCGTAACAGCGCGAGTTCCTAAATGTCATGCGCCTGCCACAAAAGCTCTCACTTTTTTACAACCACCGGACACCGTGATTGATGCCTGTGATTTTTTAATATTAAGTTATCTCACTACATCAACCGGAGTGTAAGCAGACTGAGAGATCTTATGTGCCACGGGACGTGCGTTCTATTATGGGTTAGAGAGGAAGGCAACACCGTGTCTACACCGGACGCGACAGTATTGAACCAATTATAATCCGCTATTATAGCAAAAATAAAAATGTGTTCTTTCATAAACACTAAAAATCATACCAATTCTAAACTTCTGAATGGCAGTGTAGAACTATTTACCAAAAAAGTAGTGAGTCAAACTGGTTGATAAACTTACCAATGGCCATAAAAATCTCATTCACGTTCATTGAAGTCTTTGCTGATGTTTCCATAAAGAGCAAACTGTTGTCATCTGCATATGACTGTGCATCCTGTGAACCCAAAAAAAAAAAAAAAGTCAGGGTTTCAGACAGTTCTAAGCGACTGAAAGTCTGCATGCATGTTTGTTTGTTTATAAACCGTTACACATCTCATTTGTAAAGCCAACAGGAAGCGTCTGCTCCTCTGTGGCTGTTCAAACATCGCAAACCTGACAGTCCAGCGCTCTCTTGTTGGCAAGGTCTGCCTTGTTTCCAGCCAAAGCTATTACAATATTTGGACTGGCTTGTCTCTGAAGCTCTTTCACCCAGTTTTTCGCACGTGCAAATGATTCCTGAAAGGAAAAAAAACAAAAAAACACATGCATTTCTGTAAAGCATTTTCTGGATTCAGAGCTTTCTCGTTTGTGCTTAAAGGGAACATATCATGCATTTTTCATAGTTATTTTTCAAAACCGTTTTTCACCCTCTCGCTGAATTGCAGTATTAAATAGGATGTTTTTTTGTATTCATATAAAAACCTCTCGCATTAGAAATGAGTAACGCCACTTTGCCACATTCACACTCAGGTTGCAGGTTTGCTGAAAGGATTTTAAACAGAGTCCTTTTGCAGCTTAGTTTCAATAAATGCTCTTTTTGGACTTGGGAGGAAGTTCAATCTCAATTTAATTGAACTGAAATGAATCGACACAAACTAAACAACAACACTGTTGTCTTCCGTAGAGCTGTTTCTGTAGATCTTTACAGAGTTATTGTGCTGAATCTGAACCAAAACAGAACTGACTAAAACTGAATGATTAGACTAGCAAAATTAGAATTTTTCTCATATTTGAAGACACCTGCATCATGTTATTTTCCCATTTATTACTGTATTATATCTGTATTGTATAAAATGCTTTATAAATAAATGTGATTTACTTGACTCAAAAAATCTGATTTGTCAATTGAGCTGCAGAGTAAACAAAGCGGGTTAGGACTCACTTCATTTGTAATGTCATACACCACTATGGCCGCCTGCGCTCCTCTGTAATACATTGGGGCCAGACTGTGGTAACGCTCCTGGCCAGCTGTGTCCCAGATCTCAAACTTGACTGTTGTGTCATCCAAGCATACTGTCTGAGTCAAGAAGGCAGCTAGTGGAGAGAAGACAGAGACTGGTCAGATCTTGCCATCAGTATCTGGTAATTGCTTGTAATTAGGGCTGGGCAATATGACTGCATATACCAATGGTAGAAATATTTTGGCCGATTGAGATGTTAAAGGGTGTTGATAACTTAAACTTTTTGTGCCTGTTTACTGTTGTCATTGTGTATATTGACTTATGACTATTACAATGACAAATGTGGCTCTTCAAATCTGAATTTACAGTTAATTATCTATTTTATAATATTAGTTGGCTATTTTATTTATTTAACTGGTTATCATAGTTAACCATTGGCTCATCATGAGTTTTTAATATACACAACTTATTTAATTTTTCTGGCAAAAGAACTAGTTATATCATATTGCTACTATAATATACAATTTTGGTCATCCTGCCCATCCACAAGTGAAATTACAGCAAAAATAATTAGTTATATTGTGTTATACAATTACTGTAATATAAAATTTAAGTAATACTGCCCATCCATAAGTGAAAAGACAGCAAAAATAACAAGCTATATAGTGACATACCGTTACTGTAATATAAGATTTTGGTCATTTTGCCCATCCGTACAGCAAAAATAACTAGTACTATTAAGACTAGTACCATTACCATAACACACGATTTTGGCCATACTGCCTATCCATATATCAAATTAAATAACATTTGATAAAGCACGACTTTGTCAAAACAAACCACAGCAGGCTTTGATTAGCTAATATTGTGTTTACTGTACAAATCAGAGTGATAATAAAATCACTCCATTATTCATATGGAAAATGATGGAATCATTTTTCCAGCAAAAAAAAAAGTTATCATAGTTATATTATACTAGTGATATATACCAATACTGTAATATACGATTTTGGTCAAACTGCCCATGCATAAGTTCATTAGCATCACATCAGATATGGGTTATTATAAGCAGGCAATATAATGTATGTCTTACCTCCTATTGTGCTTTCCTGAAACTCGTGAAACTGTCCTTTTACAAAGCGAAGGACTAGACTTGACTTCCCCACAGCGGACTCTCCCAGGAGCACTAGTTTAAACTGACAGATTTTGTTGCCGGCATTTGGCCCGTTAGGTCTCGTTGCTCCACCTCTTCCTGCCATGACCCTAAGCCCCAATCTCCTGTACTGAAGTCAAGAGGTGCTTCTCAAACGGTCACTCCCAGATCTGCGGGAACAAACATTAATAATCTAGTACCGCTGGTAAGTTAACACTATAACGTAATGTCATATATCGGGGTGTCTTGGTTAGCCAAATAGAAACTGAGGATAACAAGAGTTGCACAATATACGTTGTTGGCCAATTAGTAACAATATGCCATTTTCTATATTCTGTAATAAGCATAATCCTACAAGTTGAGATCCAGATCTTCAGTTCATATATTGTAATATATGAGACTGTAACACTGATATAGTAAGAACATCTATTGTGTAGTTTGTCATGCCATCAATTACATCATACCAATGTGGTCACATGACTAAATCATAGACAACAGACATTGTTTAGGAACTGCCACTGTGTTAAGCCTTAAAAATCCTTTGTGCTTTGACCCAAAAACCCAGTGACATCAGTCTTGTGTCCTTAAACACCACAAACAAAAACCAAAGCCATGATGGGAATGGAATACTAGCTTGTTATATACTGATTACTGTATATTATGGAAGGCCATTAGATAATGAATCATAATTATGAGATAGAAAGACAGAATTAAGACAAAACATGAAATTGACATGAAACAAAAAATGAAATTGACAGTCAATTATGACATTTTAAAAATGAAGTTATGACCATATCATAATTAGGAAATTAAAAAAATATGACTGTCAAAACTATGACCGTCATAATTGATGAAGTCGAAATTAGTTTACGACAAAACGAGTCATTTACGACAAAAATTCAACTTTTCATGTCATTGTACCTCATTTCGAAATTAATGTTAAAAATTTGACTTCTCTATTATTTATGATTTAGCAATACATGTTTTCTTCCTATGTGGTAGAAATGGGCTTCCATAGTATATATTGTTTACTGCCAACTGATTTTAGTAGTAATGTAACTTAAGGAAACAATAAGAAAAAGCCCATTAACAATAACCACAGAAAAACGTTAAGAATATTTATTAGTAGGCAAAAATGTGCAGTAAGTGTTCAGAGCGAGAACAAGAACATTTACATCATCGATATCCCAGTGTTTTCTTTTACTTTCTATTTACTTAATTTGACTTTCTGAGCCTACACACTGAAGTAACGTGGACATGCAAGTTTTTCTCTTTTTGGTGTATACTTTTCAGGTGTTTTTGTAGTATTGTAAAGTACTAAAATACAGTACGTCATTCGGAAGAAAACTTCCATAATGTACAAATACCATGTATACTGCTGAAACCGTAAGAATAGTGTGGTGATATGCTATTCAAACACGGCCCAAGTCCCTTTGCCTCTCTGGTTCACCAACTCCCAATGCCTACATTACATTCTAGACTATACATACTTTACATACAACCCTGTTATATCTTGTGATATAGAAAGTATGAGACAGAGTGACAGTGCAAAACAGGTCTATTATGGACACTAATGATCAATCAGTGCTTGTGATAGCTCCTAAACGCTTTTCGCCTTAAAAGTAACTTATAAGGCGATTGTAAATAGCAATTTATTTACATTTCACATCAGAATTGATAGGATATGCTCAAATTAAATAAACATTATTGATAAAACGTGACTTATTTGACGTTTAGCATAATCTGGCTCTTCAAAACAAACCGCAGCAGGCTTTGATCGGTTAATATAGTGTTCACTGGACAATTTAGTAGTAACTTCAATTTCAGGGGGATAACAAAATAAAATCACAATTATTTAATAGTACATGTATTTAATGGTACGATATGAAGCTGGAGCTGCCTGTTAGCTTGTGATGCTAACTGTGCTAATGATATTGTATGTCTCCTTGTCTTTCTCTCTAATACACACACGTAAACACAGTCAACTCAATGACAATCGTGTTCCCACGGTGTTTTCAGCGGTACTTTAACGGGTCTGTCAGTTTCTCAGACGCTCCGGTTCAAATGGTTCCCAAAAGCTAATGATGCTAATGCTAAGAGAAAAACAGGCCGAGCGCTATGCTCGCACACACAGCACTGAGCGTGACACCTCATAAATAAACCGTTAAAAAGAAAGACATCGGAAATAACAGTATGGCTTATTTAAAAAAACAAAGCAAAAAAACATTCAAATTAACATAACCGTACAAATGTTTAAAGCCCAGAGACTCGTACCTTTCTCTCGGTTCCTCCCAACTTCCCCTTTTGCATCAAAACTGATGATGACGGATCGGATGACTGGATCTGACGTCAGACTCGGAGACAAATCGGCCAATCAGAACAACGCTTATCACAAATATTTTATTTTCATAACACACAGGATTATAATTTTGTATACAGAGATTATTATTATTATTGTTTATTATTATTATTATTATTATTAGATTGTACATTTAATTTAACCTTTTCAATTCACTAAATTCACTAAAGTCATATTACAGTCATGTATTTTATTCATTGTTAGTAGGCCTAGTTAATGAGCCTTTTTAAAACAACGTGTTAAAACAACTATTCACTTTTTTTTCTTGAAAACAAGACTTAGAATTTTTTAACGAGTCTTTTTTTCCCATTAAAGGCGCGTTGGCAACTTAGGTCTTTGTTGCAGGTATCTAATAGACATAGGATAATTTCGGAATATAAAACAAACACGCTTAATTTGGAAATCGACTTTCTGACAGGTGGACGTCTGAGAGACTTGCGTCATTATCAACCTGACGCCGCATTTCCTCCGCGCGTTGTCAGGTAACGGAAGGTAAACAAACACTGCTACATGTTTGTGAGGCTTTGTAATTAGTGCTGCTGTTGTAAAGTTGTTTTTTGTTTGGATGGTTAATTGGTTGCAAATAAATCTGCATTAAATATGTGAGTGTGTAGGCATGAGTCTCATAGAGCGGAATTCATCCACCTTGAGACGCAGACACGTTTCCAAACATCCGCGCGGTATGACCAATTCTTTTTCAGAAGAAGTTTTGATGTTGTACATAGATTACTTGACTATAATTATGCAACAAATATTATGGAATTTTAATGTATAATAATTTCCACTGAAAGGCAGGAAAGCGCATTCCAGTTGGTGACACAACTAAGACTTGTCTGCAAGAAATTACACCAGGGGTGGGTCATCTTCAATTTTCTTCTGGGCTACTAACTGTATGTGTATGTGTGTATATATATATGCATGTATATGTGTGTGTGTTGGGTAAGTTACTCTAAAAAAGTAATTGATTACTAGTTACTAATTACATCTTCAACAGTGTAATTAGATTACTGTAGAAACTGTAGTAGTTAAATTTAAGAATTGGGTAGGATTAAGGATTTAGAATAATTATTATTCTATATTATGTTATTCAACACATTAATAACAACACATAATGTTTTTTTAAGTAATAATAAACAGACAATATCCTAGTAATATTCATGCTAATAACCAACTAATTAATAGTGAGAATTGGACACTAAAGTGTTACCAATATTCTTATTAACTCACCAAAGTAGTTAAAGTGGGAAGGGTACATAAAAAGCATGCATTTTAAGGTTAGACTTAACATTTTGGTTAAATCCACTATTGTATTGTATATATTGTGTGTGTGTATATATATATGTCTATACACAGTATTAAGTTAAATTACATAAGAAGTAACTAATTAAATTACAGAAAAAATAAGAGTAATCCCTTACTTTACTTTTTCAAAGGCAAAGTAATTAAATTACAGTAACTAATTACAGTATATATATATATATATATATATATATACTACCGCTCAAAAGTTTGGGATCAGTAAGACTTGTAATGTTTTTTTAAAGAAGTCTCTTATTCTCATCAAGGCTGCATTTATTTGATCAAAAATACCAACAA